ATGTAAAATCTATTTTTTCAAGACTTTGAGCAAAAATACCTCAACAGCCATTCAACAAAATCTGATGATTTTTTTTTTATAACTAGTATGATTATGTAATACTGACTGTAATCATACTAAAAAAAACGGGTTGTATAAACACACACATATATATTCACAATCATCACAATATCGAAAGAAATAAATTTAACTATATTTTTTATAGAAAAAATTTTGACTAATCACTTTTGTATATTGTAAGCTAACAACATAAAATTAAATAAGTATTAAAAACCAATGAAAATTTCTCGTAAAACATGCAAATTTACCAAAAAAATAACAATTTTGACTCGTTAAAAATTTGACATAAAATTTGCATGATGAAAAAAATACGTAGAATTTAATTTTGAATAGGAGATTTAAAAAAAAAACTAACCAAATTTTATTTAAAGTATTTTTTATTTTCTACGTGTAAATTTTTAAATTGTGAAATTGTATAAAAAATATTAAAAAAATATTGTTTTTTTTTACAAAAATACATTAAAATTTAATCGATTTTTATTTTTTCAGACCCTTAAAAATTATCAATATTTTTATTCAAGTTAATAACTTGATTAAATTTGAAATAAATTTTTTTTTTAATTTTATTGGTTCGCTATAGTAATGATAAATAAATTACTTGTTTTAGAGATATTAATTTTGATACTTGAGAAGGAAATACTATGAAATTATTGGTACATGTATTGGTTATGAGAATTAAATTACTTTTTTTAGAGATATTAATTTTGATAAGAAATTTTTATTTAATCGTCTGGAAATTTTTTACAACACGACAAAAAATACTTGACAAAAAATTTTTACAAAATGACTTTTATTAAAAATATTATTAAAAAAATCAAGACTACATTCAAAAAACAAACTATTGATTTAACTTGGGAAGACTATATTCAAGATGATAAAAATTGGTTGTCTGGTTCAATTATCGATAAAGAAAACTTTTTTCAAATCCCCGTACCGACAGTTGAACAAGAAGAACAATTTTCTATATTACATTTAAATTTTTATACAAGATATGATGAATATCAAGAAACAATAAGAAACGAAGAACCAGAAATATATGAAGAACTAAAAAGCTAGTTCAGTTATTTTGAAGCCCATGTTCATTCTTGGGCTAATATTCATGCAAAAGGAAGAGGATTTGAAAAAAATAAATTTGACCAAGAATTAAATGATAGAAGAATAGCTATATATGAAGAAGATTTTGAAGTTGCTGTGAATCTTTTTAATAAAAAATTTAAACAAAATTTTTATTTATTAGATTTAGATGATTTGTTCTTTTACGCAAAAAAATTTTTATTATATTAAATTATTTACTTACTAGTATTTTAGCTGTAGTTTTTCTTGTGAAAGTAGTTTCTTCTTGCTTGTATAAATTATTTTATCTAAATAAATAAAATAAAAAAAATATTAGTACGAAAATTCTCTTCATTCTGTGAGTTGCGGATAACTTCGCAAGAGATATAACTCAAGAGACCGTCTTGCGTGCCTAGTGAAAATAAAAATCATCCTCGAAAAACTAAGAAGTTTTTACTCAGAATGATTTTCTGACACATATAGAATAGTGTAATTCAAATTCACAAATACAAGTAAGATGGAACATCCAACTTACAAAATTAATAAATATATTGTTCTGGGTATGTCTTTATCAAATAACACCAGAAACAAATATTAAATATAATAAATATTAAATAAATTAACATTTCAAAGAAGAAGAATTCTTTTGAATAAATTATTTCAAAAATGAAAGTAAAAAAATCGAATTTCTCTAAATTGTTTACTAAAAGTAAACTGAAGAGAACAATAATAGCAATGATTAAGTAAAAGAACCACATTTTGTTTAATAATTGTAAAGAATTTTGTGGATAAAATAAGTTTGGATAACAATTTTAGAGTATATAAGGTTTAAAACGAATAAATTCGTGAAGAGAGAGAAGGTTTTTTCGTTCGTTTTTTATTAATAAAAAAATTGCTAGAAAATTCTAGGAATTGATTGGTCGATAATGGTTTCAAAGTATTCCATCTAGTTTTAAAGTAAAAATTTATATTGCGCATATATTTAATAGTCTAATTTTAAAGTAAAAATTTATATTGCACATATATTTAATAGTCTAATTTTAAAGTAAAAATTTATATTGCGCATATATTTAATAGTCTAATTTTAGATTAAAATTTATTTATGATCAGCAAATATACAGTTACTTTAATTTTAGTTTAAGTATTATGTAAGAAACGACCAAAACAGCTTTTCAATTTTTATTGTCTAATTTAGAGTGTCTGATTTAGAAATTCATTGTAGATAATAAAATTACTATAACAGTAATCGTATCAATTAGGAATTTAAACTTTAATTATATCGGTAAAAAATATAGATTAAGATTAATATAAAAATTAGAATAGAATATTATATGTTTTGAATTAGGAATTGTGATAAAATAATTTGTAGGATAATTAAGATTATAATAACAATATAATTGTGATAAGATTTTTGTTTACGTAATTTGATAATCTATAAAAAAATTTGCCATTATTGTTTTCTTTTTTCTTTGTTGTTTTCGTTTCTCCTTCTTCCACAGCTTGTTTTTTTTCTAAAAGTTAGTATTTTTCTGTTTCTTATTTTTTTATAATACTAGATGATTAATATACTAGTTAAAGTTAAAAACTTTTGTACTCTCTCAGCAAGATAACTGGGGTCTTGTTTATTGAGTACACAGATAGTGACTTTATGAACAACCAGTTCGTCACTATTCGCCTTTATGTGCATATCGATTTCTAAGTTCTTAACTAATGATAGAGTTTGTTATTATTATGTTTTTTATTGTTTGCAAACAAAAAATTAATAGTTATTATTTTTTTTTTTTTTAGAATGGATAGCTCTTTGGAGCAAAATATTGAGACAGTTATCTTTTCACTTCTCGAAATAAAGAAGAAAATAAAAGAAGCACCAAAAGAATCACCGTGTCATGATTGTAATAAACTAAAAGAAAATTGTAAAAGTGCTTTTAAAAAATATAGCAAAGGTCTTTCTTTGGTTG